CAAACGCTGTGTGGATAAGGAGAACTGTGGAGTCTGTCATGTTGGCCACATGTTTTAGATGTTGTGAAACAACCCAACTCACTTTCGGCTCACCCTATGTGAACATTCAACCCTACCACCTCCCTATTCCAGATTCCAACAAGATGGGAAAGATCTCCTCACTGTCTACTCCATGACAATTTTGTTTCTTTTCAGTTACCTTCATTTCTCTAAATGCCAAGGAATCCAGCCCAAGTCTTCACAAACTCTCCCCATTGGAATATGATTTCTTTACTCTTCCAATATTAACCCATTTGCAACAGTAGGTGACATTTCCCTCAGTGTTCCCTCAGAGCCATCTCACATTTGAAATGTTAAATCCATTTCTCTCTCCACAGGTGCTGCTGGTTTTTTTTATATAACAGATCTCCAGCATCTGGTACATTGCTTTAGAATTCCTAATTGCTTGCTTGACCCAGGAATTATTTTTCGGTCATTCAAGGACAGGACAGGAGTTTTAATACGATCATGAAATAAAGGCAGGAAGTGCTGGAGAAACGGTGAGGGAGCGGCGATATATTTCCAAGTCAGGATGGTGAGTGGCTTGGAGGGGAACATGCAGGGAGTGGTGTTTACATGTTTCTGCTGCTCTTATCCTTCTAGATGGATGTGGTCGTGGGTTTGGAAGGTGATGTCTGAGGATCTTTGGTGAATTTCTGCAGTGCATCTTGTAGATAGTACACACTGCTGCTACTGAGCGTCGGTGGTGGAGGGAGTGGATGCTTGTGGATGTGGTGCCAATCAAGCGGCTGCTTTGTCCTGGATGGTCAGAGAGTTGTACAGCACGGAAGCAGACCCTTCAGTCCAACCTGTCCATGCTGACCAGATGTCCTGAATTAATCCAGTCCCATTTGTTAGCATTTGGCCCATATCCCTCTAAACCCTTCCTATTCATATACCCATCCAGATGCCTTTTAAATGTTGTAATTGTACCAGCCTCCACCACTTCCTCTGGCAGCTCATTCCATGCACACACCACCCTCTGCATGAAAGTGTTGCCCCTCAGGTCCCTCTTAAATCTTTCCCCTCTCACCTTAAACCAATGTCCTCTAGTTTTGGACTCCACTACCCTGGGAAAAGAGACCTTGACTATTCACCCTATGGATGCTCCTCATGATTTTATAAACCTCTGTAAGCTCACCCCTCATCCTCCGACACTCCAGGGAAAATAGCCCCAGCCTATCCAGCCTCTCCCTATAGTTCAAATCCTCCAACCCTGGCAACAGCCTTGTAATTTTTTCTGAACCCTCTCAAGTTTCACAACATCCTTCCAGAACAGGGAGACCAGAATTGAATGCAGTTTTCTAAAAGTGGCCTAATCAATGACCTGTACTGCTGCAACATTACCTCCCAATTTCTACACTGAATGCACTGACCAATGGAGGCAAGCGTACCAAACACCTTCTCCATATCCTGTCTGCCTGTGACTTTACTTGCAAGGAACTATGAACCTGCACTCCGAGGTCTCTTTGTTCAGCAACACTCCCCAGGGCCTTACATCAAGTGTATAAGTCCTGCCCTGATGTGCCTTCCCAAAATGCAGTACCTCACATTTATCTAAATTAAACTCCATTTGCCACTCCTCATGTCGAACTTTTTGAGTGTTGTTGGAGCTGCACCCATCCAGGCAAAAGGGGAATGTTTCATCACACTCCTGACTTGTGCCATGTAGTTGGTGGACAGGTTTTGGGGAGTCAGGAGGTGAGACTTACTTGTTGTAAAACTCCCAGAAAGCCACAACAGAACCTCAGCAATGAAACTTGTTAACACCAATTGTTTTGAAAAATGATTTTTTTTAAAAATAGCAACTGAGAATGTGAGGGGAGAAACTCAAGAGTAGATTTTAAAATAATGAAATGAGAGAGAAACATGTACAAAGTTTTTTAATTACTGAAGGGGGTGAGGCTAGAAGCTGTATGTTCATTCAGATGAGAAATAACAAAGGGAAGACGACATTGGTGGGTCTTGTCTATGGACCCCTACCTGCAGCTACACAATAGGAACAATCCTTAAAACTGCATTTGGGACCGTTTCCTAGACAATGTGCTATGGATCCAACCAGAGATCAGGCTGTTTTGAATCTGGTGATGTGTAATGAGGCAGATTTAATAAATTATCTCACAGTCGAAGATCCCAAAGGAAACAGTGATCATAACATGGTAGAATTTAGCATTCAGTTTGAGAGAGAGGAACCTGGGTTGGAAACCACTGTGCTATACTTAATTAAAAGTAACTACAGAGGAATAAGGACAGAGCTGACTGAAATAGACTGGGGATGGAGTTTAGCAGCAAAGATAGTTGAGGAACAGCGGCAGATGTTTAAGTAAATTGTTTTTGGCTCATAACAAAGAAATATCCCAGTGAGGAAGAAGGGTTCCAGGAAGGGGATGAGCCAACCATGACTAACCAGGCAAGTTATGGATGGCATCAGATTGAAAGAAAAAACTTACAATGAGACAAAGATTAGTGGTAAGCCTGAGGATTGGGAAAGTTTTAAAAAACCAACAAAAGACACTAAGACAAAAAGAACAAGAACATAAACTTTGAGGGTAAGTACTATCAAGATGGATAGCAAAAGCTTCTTTAAATAGACAAAAAAGAAAAGAGAAGTGAAAGTGAACATAGGTCCCTTAAAGAACGAGGCTGGAGAAATAATAGTGGGGAACCAGGAAATGGCAGAGGAGTTGACTAAAGATTTTGAATCAGTTTTCACATTAGAAGACAATAAGAGCGTTGCAAAATTACTGAATAATCAAGGAGCAAAAGGAGGAGGAAGGAATAAATACAATAACTATCACTAGAGAATTGGTACCAGGAAAACTAAGGAGGCTAAAGGCCTACAAGTCCCCTGGAGCTGATGAGATGCATCCCAGGATATTAAAGGAAGTAGCTACAGAGATAGTGATGAGCTGGCAGTAATGTTCCAGGTATCTTATGATGCTGGAAGTCCCAGAAGATTGGAAAATGGTCAATATAACATCTTTATTTAAAAAGGGAAGGAGCCAAAAAAAAGGTAACTATAGGCCAGTTTGCCAAAATGTGTTCTTGGGAAAATGCCAGAATCTATTGTAAAGGATGCAATAGCAGAGCATTTAGAAATACATAATATGATCAAACAGTCAGCATGGCTTCATGAAGGGGAAATCCTGCCTGACACATTCACCAGAATTCTTTGAGGAGGTAACAAGCAGGATAGATAAAGGGGAAGCAGTCGATGTTATGTATTTGATTTTCAGAAGGCATTAGCTAAGGCAGCCCACGTAAAGTTCCAACAGGATCAGATGGATTAGATATAGGGAGGAGTTCCCAAAAGTTGGGGGTGGGGGGGTCCAGATCTGTGGTCGTAGTTTAAGGCAAAGGGGTAAACCTTCTAGGACTGAGATAAGGAGGAACTTCTTTACCCAGAGAGTCGTGAGCCTGTGGAATTCACTACTGCAGAAAGTAGTTGAGACCAAAACATTGTGTTTTCAAGGACGAGGTAGATCTAGCTCTTGGGTCTAAAGGGATATGGGGTATTGATGGGAGAGGCGGAGCAGGATTCGGATATTGAGCCTGATGGTCAGCCATGATCATAATGAATGGCAGGGCAGACTCGAGGGGCTGAATGGCCTCCTCCTGCTCCTATCTTCTATGTTTCTACAAAATTAGAGCCCAAGGTTTTGGGCATGGTGTGTTAGCATGGATAGAAGACTGACTAACTAATAGAAGACAGAGTTGGGATAAGGGGGTGGCATTTTCAGGATAGCAAGTTGTAACTATTGGATTGCCACAGTGATCAGTGCTGGGGCCACAATTATTTACAGTATAGATTAAATGATGAAAACGTATTGTAGCCAAGTTTGCAGATGGCAAGTAGTGAGGAAAACACACAGAGCTTGTGGAGGGATATCGACAATTTAACTTAAAGTTTATAGACTGTGGGAAAAGAAAAAAACTTGGCAAATGGAGCATAATGTGGGGAAATGTGAGGTTATATACTTTGGCAGGAAGGACAGAGGGGCAGAATATTAATTCAATGGAGAAAGACTGCAGAAAGCTGTAGCACAGAGAGATTTGGGATTTCACATCTATGAAACACAAAAAGCCAGCATCCAAGTGCAGCAGATAATAGGGATAACAAATGGAATAGCAGCCTTTATTTCGAGTGGATTTGGTTAAAAATAGGGAGGCTTTGCTGAAACTATACAAGGCACTAGTCAGACCACAGCTGGAATACTGTGAACAGTTTTGGTTCCCTTATCTAAGGAAAGATAGACTGACGTTGGAGACAGTCCAGAGAAGGTTCACTTGGCTGATCCTGGGTACAGAGGGACTGTCTTATGAGGAGAGGTTGTGTAAATTTGGCCTGTACTCATTGGAGTTTAGAAGAATGAGAACAGACTTTATTGAAACAAACAAGATTCTTTGGGAAATTTACCAGGTCGATGTGGAAAGGCTGCTTCCCTTTGTGGGAGAGTTTAGGACCTGAGGGGGCATAATCTCAAAATAAGGGGTCGCCCATTTAAGACAGAGATGAGGAAAAATTTCTTCTCACAGAGGGGAGTGAATGTGTGGAATTCTTTAGTGTACAGTGCTATTGAGACTGGGCCGTGAAGTATATTCAGGGACGAGAGAGACACAGATTGTAATCTGTAAAGGAATTGAGGGGTGAAGGGGAAAGGCAGGAAAGTTGGCAATAGTAGGATTATCAGATCAGCCATGTTCCAAGTGAACGGTAGAACAGACTCAATGGGCTGAATGGCCTACTCCTGCTCCAGTATCTAATGATCTCACGGAGGGCTGATGTCACATGGACACCACCACAAAGTGGGGTTGCTGAGGTCGAGATCGTAACCATTTCACAGGAATTGGATCGCTGCGGAGTCTAGAGGGATCCAGCTGCTGTTGAAGGGCCAGCACAAACAGAAGGACTGAAAGACCTCCTCCTCATGCTAGAGTACCTGTCACCCAGTGATACTCACCTGCATCAGCTCAGCAACGGCAACCAAGTCAGCCAGGGAGATTTCCGCGCCAACAATATATGGCTTCTCCTGAAGGAACTTCTCTTGAAATTTCTTCAGGACTTGGGCCAGTTCATCCTGGGCCTCCACCATCTTCTCTTCAGGACATGGTGCCCCAGTCACGACTGGGAATAAAGCCTGCAGACCCAAGAACCAGACAGAAATCAGGAATAATGGCCCACAATCTAAGACCAGCCCTGGACACCAGGCCAAGTTTGGGAAGGGCCCAGGGTATAGTTGGCCTCATGGTGCTAACTGGGATTAGCCTGGTAATGGCTGACTGTTCAGACACACAGGCTGTTTTTGTAGAGTGAGAAACTGGCAGGTCCTATTGTACGAGGGAACTGTTCTGAAGGGGCTCATATTCAGGTTCCATTGGCTGTACCCAGGGCACTGATGCCAGTCACAGGGGGTGGTGAAGACATGAGGTTCTCCTGCTGCTTTCACCCCCTCCACTAACACCCAGTCTTGTCCCAGTACAGGCAGCATGATGATGCCTCACTCACACAGAGAGAGAGAGAATGTGAGAGAGAGAAAACACAAGAGTGAGAATGTGTGTTGTGAGAGTGTGTGTGTGTGAGAGAGAGAGTGTGTGCGCAAGAGTGAGTGAGTGTGTGTGTGTGTCAGTGAGTGTATGTGTGCGTGTGCGTGTGTGTGTGTCTGTGTGCGTGAGTGTGCGTGTGTACGTGAGTGTGAGTGTGAGAGTGTGAATGTGTCCTTCCTCCTGAGCAACAAGAAACAAGGCAACTTTTCTCCAGAGTGACTGACACACGCTTTGAGAGTGATGTGATATTCAAACTGCTATGGGGGGCTGAGAGAAAGAGAGCAGGAGAAAGTGAAAGAGAGACAGACAAAGCTGTAGAACTGGTTGATGCCATAGTTCAGCTGAAGGCGTGTGAGGAACCTTTCATTAATTAATGCTGATTAAAACTGGTGCAGCCAAACTCAGTCATTCCTCAACACTCACCAAGCATTAACGAGCATTAAAATGTCCCAGCACTAACTCCCAGTCACACACAACCCCTTAAAGAAACGCCCCTCCCTGCCTCCAGAGCTGGTCACAAGATCTGTCGGTTTCTCTCTCTCTCTCTGTCCCTCCCTCTCTGTCTTTCTGTCTCCGTCTCTCCATCTCAGGCTGAACTTGAATCTTGCTGAAGGGATGATTCTGAATGATTTCATCTTGCCCTTGTCAGGACCAACACAAGAATGCCAAATTGCAATTTATTTGCCAGGAATATCTGATTGTTTGAGGTGTTTCCATGGAGAAAGCAACAGGGTAGTAGACCCTCCAGATAATTCAAAGATAAAGGCTTAGAAATATTCCAAATGTTTATAAACGTAACAAATACCTTATTTGTTTGCAGAATATGGAGTCTGTGTATAAAAGGATGCACGTCCTATAATGTGTGAATCAGCTCCATTATAAGCTGGGCTGATTATCTTTATTTGTTGTTAGCTATTAGCGGACCCTGGATTGCAAGTCCTGCCCAATGGCAGAATCACATCTAACAGGGGACATTTCGGCTTTCACAAGTGCTGAGTCGGTTAATACAAAAAAAATGTTGAGAATCTCTCACCTTCATCATGAAGATTTTCCCAGCTAGTGGTCTCAGAGATGTGTGCTGCCAGTCCAGATATTCATCCACGCGAGCACGGCTCTGGAGGTCAGCAGGGTACCAGTGGTCGGGCGTCTTGTATCTACCTGCCAGGTATTTCAGAATCGCCACACTAGGAGAGAGACAGTCATCCTTCACCAGTATCCTCCTCAGGTCCTCAATACAAAGTCCCTCTGCCTGAAATCACCAACATTCAATTTTCTATCTTTGAGTCCCTGTTTTTAATTTGTCTGCAGCTACACACAGTTTGAATCCTGACCCACCCATTTAGAATTTGATTTTATTTTCCTGGAACCTGTGTTGCAATAAGAACAATATTGTTTCACAAGTATTTCACCATACTCAGGAATTTTGGAAAGCTCCCATCTGATATTTTGACCCATATCCCTTAGAATGCCGAGAGATTCTTCGTCAAACCAACAAAATTGGTTTGAGAATGGTAGGATGTGTCCTTTCAGTGGAATCACCTTTTTAATAGAATTGTCTTCATTACCGTCAAACAACTTCTGTTGGAGGGTCAGTGCTGAGGGAGCGCTGCACTGTCGGAGGGTCAGTGCTGAGGGAGCGCCACACTGTCGGAGGGTCAGTGCTGAGGGAGCGCCACACTGTCTGAGGGTCAGTATTGAGGGAGTGCCGCACTGTCGGAGGGTCAGCTCTGAGGGAGCGCCGCACTGTCGGAGGGTCAGTGCTGAGGGAGCACTGCAGTTTTAGAGACAACAAGGTGCAGAGCTGGATGAACACAGCAGGCGAAGCAGCATCGTAGGAGCAGGAAAGCTGATGTTTCGGGCCTAGACCCTTCATCACCCGAAACGTCAGCATTCCTGCTCCTCTGATGCTGCTTGGCCTGCTGTGTTCATCCAGCTCTACACCTTGTTATCTCAGATTCTCCAGCATCTGCAGTTCCTACTATCTCCGCTGCAGTTTTAGAGCTATTTTCTCTGAAAGTGAGTCTGCGTACACAGGTAGATGTAGGGAACACAGGAGTATTTGATATGGAGTATTTTCTATAACAGTGATGACACCAGGAAGTGAGATGTGGCTGCGAAGCACTTTGGGGAATGATAGGTGCTACAGAAAAGCGAGTCACATGCAGCAAGTGTTGTTCCTGTTGAGTCAGTTTGATCCAGGAAAGGTGATACATGTCAAAGTGATTGTGAACACCTTTCACTGTACCTAGGGGAAGGCAATGTGTTCCCGACAGCAGCAAGAACACAGATCGATCCCTGCCTCCTGCCAGCCTGGCACCAGGGTCTTTACCGAGCACCAGCTCCTTTACCTCTCGGTCAGAGTGAAGTCCCCATCCTTTATCACAGGCACCTTCCCCAGGAGGTTCACTTTCCGAAACTCTTCCGAATGTTGCTCTCCTACACAGAGAGACACACCACTCAGCAAAACAGCTCAGCACCCTGCGGAAATCCCTAACACTACCCCCACCCCCCACACCACCCTCCCAGCCTCACCCTCCCCAACTCTCTCCCTCTGGTTACTCTCCTCCTGCTCTCACACTCTCTCTGCCTTGACACTCTCGTTTTTAATCTCTAGATCATCTCTCTCCAGTTTCTCAGGGATTTCTCACTCTCACACACACTACCTCACTGCATCATCATCTCTCTCTCTCTCTCTGATTTCTCACATTCTCTCTCTCTGTCTCTCTCTCTCTCTCTCTGGATCATTCCTCTGTCTCAGGTCTCTGACTTACTCTGTTTTTCAATCCGTCTCCGATTCCTCCCTCTCTGCTCTCCCTCTCCCTCCCCGTGCTCTCCCTCAGTGTGTGATCTCCCAGCACCTTACCTGCCAGCAGCTGGACCTCTTTCAGCTCGAAGGGAATGTTGTTCTTTTGAATGAACAGATAAACTGAGCGGCAGGGCTGGGACACCAGGTCAATGTAAAGCTGCAGGGCCATGCCAACTGGGAATGAGGAACGCAGCCTGCTTCCGCCCTGACACGGTACTGACTCACAGTCCACTCACCTCATCCACCTGGGACTAACCCACCCACCACCTGCTGAGGTCCGCCCACATCAGGTGAACACCTTCTGTTAGAAGTGAGCTCCACCCACCCCAGTGAGCCCCGCCTACCCACAACTGAGCCCCCTCCAACCCCAGTGAGCCCCGCCTACCCACAAGTGAGCTCCCACCCACCCCAGGTGAGCCCCGCCTACCTACAACTGAGCTCCACCCACCCCAGGTGAGCCCCATCCACCCACAACTGAGCCCCACCCACCCCAGGTGAGCCCTGCCCTCCCACAACTGAGCCCCACCCACCCCAGGTGAGCCACGCCCATCCACAGACAGACCCCGCCCCCACCCATGTATGTTAATTAAGTGCAGCCTTACACTCAGTCACTAGGGGGAGTGTGTTTGCTGCACATGCTCAGTGTCAGAGAGTCCACAGGCAGCAATCTGCATTGACACAGACTAACAATGAAATGCAAGTTCGCTCAGAGACCCATCATCCACCATCAGGAGGTCACAAACAATCTTAAATTAACACAACTCTATTCATTCACCAAAACCCAATCTAACACTCCGTTTACAGCCTGGATTCAAAAACCTGTTTTTTTTAGAAAAATGCATATCACCATGGTTAGAGAATTAGTTAAAGCTACTTATTAACCTTAGAACACGGGGGATAAAAAAATCCTACAAGTTACTAGGTCAAGCTCAGATATTCAAATTTACAGCCACTAGCATTAAAAACTATACAGCAAGTAGAAATGTCACAGTGAGTGCCAGAATCAAAAGATATTGGGACAAATGGAAGGTAGGCACTGAGAGGGGAGTCCTGTCACTGTGTGGGACTGAAAGCGTGGGCTCACATTAATCAGCTTTCATCTCCATCAACGCTGACAAAACGGGTACTTTTGCCCTAATTGGTCAGTGCATTGTGTATAGGAGTTGGGATATCATATTATGGATGTACAGGACATTAGTCAGGTCACTTTTGGAATACTGCATTTAGTTCTGGTCTCTCTGCTAAAGGAAAGATGTTGTTAAACTAGAAAGGGCACAGAAAAGATTTACAACAATGTTGCTGGGACTGGGGTGGGGGAGGTTTGACCGATAAGGAGGGGCTGGAAAGGCTGGGGCACTTTTTCCCCGGAGCGTTGTAAACTTTTAGAAGTTTACAAAATCATGAGGGGTATGGATAGGGTGAATAGCCAAAGTTGTTTTGTCCCAGGATAGGGGAGTCCAAAACTAGAGGGCATGGGTTTGAGGTGAGAGGAGGAAAATTTAAAGGGGACCTGACAGGCAACATTTTCACACAGAGGGTGATGTGTGTGTGGAACAAGCTGCAGAGGAAATAGTAGATGGTGATACAGTTATAGCATTTGAAAGACATTTAGACAGGTACATGGATGGGAAAGATTTAGAGGCAAATGGGACTAGTTCAGTTTAGGACACCTGGTCAGCATGGGCAAGATGGACTGAAAGGTCTGTTTCCATGCTGTACAACTCGAAGTGCCGAGTGGATGATCCATCTCGGCCTCCTCCAGTGGTCCCCCAACATTACAGATACCAGTCTTTAGCCAATTCAATTCACTCCACATGACATCAAGAAAATGTTGGAGGCACTGGATACTGCAAAGGCTACGGGCCCTCACAACATTCCGGCAATAGTACTGAAGACTTGTGCTCCAGAACTTGCCGCTCCCTTCGCCAAGCTGTGCCAGTACAGTTACAACACTGGTATCTATCCGACAATGTGGAAAATTCTGTACATAAAAAGCAGGAGAAATCCAACTCAACCAATTACTGCCCCATCAGTCTCCTCTCGCTCATTAATAAAGTGATGGATGATGTCAGTAACAGTGCTATCAACACCTGCTCAGAAATAACCAGCTCAGTGATGCCCAGTTTGGGTTCTGCCAGGGCCACTCAACTCCTGACCTTGGTTCAAACATGGACAAAAGAGCTGAATTCCAGAGGTGAGGTGAGAGTGTCAGCCCTTGACATCAAGGCTGCATTCGATGAAGTGTGGCATCAAGGGGTCCTAGCAAAACTGGAATCAATGGGTATCAGGGGGCAAACTCTCCGGGTCTCTTCCACATAAAAAGATGGTTGTAGTTGGAGGTTAATCATTTCAGCTCCAGGAAATTTCTGTAGGTGTCCCTCAGGGCAGTGTCCTATGCCCAATCATTTTCAGATGCTTCATCAATGTCTTTTAACATTCACGCCACACAAATGCCAGGCAATGACCATCTCCAATAACAGACAATCTAACCACCGCCCCTTGACATTCAATGGTGCTACCGTCACTGTATGCCTCACTATCAACTTCCTGGGGATTACCATTGACCAGAAACTCAACTGGACTCACCACATAAACACAGTGGCCACAAGAACAGCCCAGAAGCTGGGAATACTGTGGTGAGTAACTCACCTCCTGACTCCCCAAAGCCTGTCCACCACCTACAAGACACAAGCCAGGAGTGTGATGGAATACTCCCCACTTGCCTGGATAAGTGCAGCCCCAACAACACTCAGGAAGCTTGACACCATCCAGGACAAAGCAGCCCACTTGATTGGCACCACATCCACAAGCATCCACTCCCTCCACCACCAACGCTCAATAGCAGCAGTGTGTACTATCTACAAGATGCACTGCAGAAATTCACCAAAGATCCTCAGATAGCACCTTCCAAACCCACGGCCACTTCCATCTAGAAGGACAAGGGCAGCAGACATATGGGAACACTATCCCCCTGCAAGTTCTTTTGCAAGCCACTCACCATCCTGACTTGGAAATATATTGCCGATGCTTTAGTGCTGCTGGGTCAAAATCCTGGAATTCTCTCCCCAGTGGCATTGTGGGTCAATCTACAACACACAGACTACAGCAGTTTAAGAAGGCAGCTCAATACCACCTTCTGAAGGGCAACTAGGGATGGGCAAAGAATGCTGGTCCAGCCAGGATGCCCACATCTGTGAGAGAGAATGGAAAAGGTTACATTGGTGTGGTTTTTGAATATACACTTTTCAATGCTGATGGCTAAATTATCAGCAAAACATCTTGATGTAACTATTTAACGCATGAACCAATCTCCCCTGTTCGGGTGAAAGTTAGTTTCTGAAACAACACTTGCCACACTACATCCCCAGGGGTGCCAGCCCGCAGTATCAGAGGGAGCTATTGGGGTAAGTGTGAACTGGGGACTTATCCATCATAATGCTCTTCAAGAGACCCAACACCACTTCTTTCTTGGATAACACGGTGTGGAGCTGGATAAATACAGCAGGCCAGGCAGCTTCAGAGGAGCAGGAAAGCTGACGTTTCAGGTCAGGACTAAGGACAACACCACTTCTTTCTTGATCTCAAAATGCCCTTGCAGATTGGCATGCTCCACACAATTCCCACTGTCCTCCATATCCTTCTCCTGGATGAATACTGACACACAGTACCTATTTAGGATCTCGCCTATATCCGCTGTCTCCAAGCACAAGTTCCCTCCTTTATCCTTGAGTAGTCCTACCCTTTCTGTAGTTATCCTCTTGTTTTTAATGTATGTATAGAATGCCTTGGGATTCTCTTTATCCCTACTTGGTAAGGTCATTTCATGGCCCCTTCCTACTCTCCTAATTCCCTGCTTGAATTCTTTCCTGCTTTCCTTCTATTCCTCGTGGGCTCTGTCTGATTTTAACTTCCTAAATCTTACGTATGCTTCTTTTTCCCTATTGACTAAAATTCACAACCTCCCTCGTTATACATAGGTCCCTTACCTTGCCATCCTTGTCCTTCCTCCTGCCGGACCTGAACTCTCATCAGCAGGTCTTTAAACAATTCCAACATGTTAAATATGGATTTGCCTGATACCAGCTCCTCCCTATTAACACTCCCCAGCTCCTGCCTAATACTGACATAATTTGTGCTCGCCCAATTTAGTACCTTGCTGCAAAGTCCTAACTTATCTTTGTTCATACCTATCTTCAAACTTGAGGAGTTGTGATCACTGTTTCCAAAATGCTCTCCTACTGAAAGGTCTGTCACTCGGCCACGCTCATTAGCCAGTACAAAGCTCAGTATGGCCCCTCCTCTCGCTGGACTGTCTACATACTGTTTCTAGAAACCCCCTTGAATGCACTTAACAAATTTTGCCCCATCTAAGCCTCTTGCTGTAAGGGAGCCTCAGTCTATTTTGTGAAAGTTAAATGTCATACCTACTATGGCAACCCTGTTGTTATTGCATCTTTCCATATTCTCCCCCTACGTATTTGTTTCTCAATGTCTCAGAGCCTGTTGGGCAGGGCCTATAGTATAATCCTATCAGCGTGATTGCCCCCATCTTATTTTTTGGGCTCTAGCCAGATTGCCTCAGTGGATGAGCCCTCCAGCATGTCCTCTCTGCGTACAGATGTAGCATTCTCCCTGATTAGTAATGCAACTCCCTCATCTGTTTTATCTCCCTCTCTATCTCGCCTAAAGCAACAAAACCCTGGAACGTTGAGCAGCCAGCCCTGCCCTTCTCTCGACCGAGTCTCCATAATGGCCACAACATCACAGTCTCACGTACTGATCCAGGCCCTAATCTTATCTGCCTTACCTATAATACTCCTTGCGTTGAAATAAACACACTTCAGCCCATTGGCACCATCATGTTCGTTTACCTGTCTCTGCCTGTCCTTTCTTTCTGATTGACTACCACCTACCTTCCCCTGAATCCCTCTACTTGCTGATCTACTGCTCTGGTTCCCAGCCCCCTGCCACTCTAGTTTAAACCCTCCCGGGTAGCACTAGTGAACCGTGCTGTGAGGGTATTGGTTCCTCTCCAGTTGAAGTGCATCCCATCCCTCTTGTACAGATCACCCCTACTCCAGAAGAGGTTCCAATGATCCAGGAACCTGAAACCCTGTCCTTGCACCAGCTCCTTAGTGATGCATTCATCTGACCTATCTTTCTATTCCGTGCCTCACTAGCACATGGTGCTGGCAATAACCCAGAGACTACTCCCCTCAAGGTCCTGCTTTTCAGCCTCATTCCTAACATCCCTGTACTCACTCCACAGGACCTC